TATAATTTGTGACCATAAAAAAATTTGTGATCAATTATTTGGAAATCTGTGACTGTGTGACCTATAAATTTTAATATGTGACCAACTAATTTTGAAATCTGTGACCAACGAATTAATTATAACCTATAAAAATTTTGAAATGTGACAGTAAATTGTAAATCTGTGACCAAAATGGTCACCGGAATAATTGTCAGAATCGGAGTAGTCGTCGAAACGATCGTCGGAGAAGAGTGGTGGTCGAAATGGTCGCCAGAATAGTTCCCGGTGCGATATGGGTGGTGCATGTAGGATGAGTTAATTATATTATATTAGAATTAAATATTTAATAATAAATTGATTTAATAATTTATTATTTCATAAATAAAAAATAAAAAATAACCTGATATTTGAATTTTCAAATTATAAACCTGATTTTTGAATTCGTGTAAAGTATACACCTTATTTATGAATTTTTCCCTTTTAGAAAATGGAATTTTCTTAATAGAAATGCAACTATGAGGAAAATATTGAAAAAAATAAGCAACTTAAACTAAAATTACAGTTTACAAAGTTAGTCTTAACTTATTTTGAGAAATTTGAACTTGTTGTCTCCGACTTATACACTTGCTCCATTCATTTTTTTCTAGTCATGTCCCCAAATTATTATTTTTGGTGCACAAGGACAAATTGATGAGAAGTTATCCAACATTCCATCGAATACTCGCAGCCCAAGTAACCCATTCCTATATGGGACTTTTGTCTACGCACTATCTAAGGCCTCCATTTCCAAGTGATCATTTCTTCAATGAGCATGTTTCTTGCAATTCTTCATTTCAAACCAAGTAATGTTACATATTATTAACAGAGATCATAAGTAGTCTAGGTTATAGTTAAATCTCTAACTGAGATTCCAATACATTAAAATGCATCATAATTTTATTGGAAGCTCAAGTCATCTAGATAGATCGTCTCTACTAATGATAAATAACATTATTCTTTCAAACACTTCTTGTTTGCTTGACATCTAAACCAATTACAACATCTGGATGCTTGTATAACCACATTAATTGACTATATTTGTGCATAAGAACTATGTTGGCTATATTATGTCATAAAACGGAGTTGCATATGACCTTAATTTAAAGAGTGTTTTGTGTAAATGAGTTTATTTTCCATCAAAAAAATGGGGAAAAGGGGAAATAAAAAATAAAATAATCGAAAGAAAAAGAAGGAAAAAAAAAATGCATATTCCACCGTTGAATTGAAATTTTATTGCCTATGCCACCTCAACCCTAACCCCCTCGCGCATCCACTTCTTACCCTTGACCATCACCACATTTATCCCTTACCTTCCACCCTCAAGCCATCCAGCAATTCTTCTCCAATTCATAAATGTAAATAATTTCTCTTTGATTATGGTATAAGATTTTGGTGGGTGGCGGTGATTGACAAAAGAAGACAATTCGACTTTATTTTATCTTTTATCCTTTTCTTCTATGGTTTTTCTTACTTTTTTACACTTTTCAAATTGCATTTTAATAAATATGAAGGCTCGTTGAAAATAATCTTGTCATAAGTGGTCACACGGGCTACAAATTCATTGAGATTCATTACTTGTAGGTGCTTAAAAACTTAGTATGGCTAGCACTCGTCCAGCAGAGTTGTGATGACATTTATGTTTTTCATAAATTCACTCTATAAAAAATGAAAATCTCAACTATTTTATAAATGGGTTGATTTGTTAAAAAAATATATTACATGATTATGAAATTACAAGGGTATGATTGGAAATCTTTGCTTCAAACTTTATAGATAGATCAGAATATTGTCTTATTCTTACAAGATATTATAGGCTGATTAGTGAGGTCTTAAAAACGTCATACAATGAATGATCGGCCATTCCATTTTTGCTTTCAGCAATTAGGTGACGCGATGGTCAAGTCGTGAAAGATCAAAGTGGTCAAATGCAATTGATTCGTTTCGGTTCGCCTAAGACGAAAATGGGGATGCTTCAACGGGAATGAAAGTTGTTGGGTGACGAAAGAGGTCTGGCTAATCAATTGGTCAAGAAAGGGGTCCCACTGTACAATCAGGAATCATGAACAAATTTTTAGTTGATCTTAAATAGTAAAATATGTTTGATAAGATTTTTAGAGTTAATTTATGGTTTAATTTCATTCATGATCACTGTACTTTAACTCAATTGTCAACTGGGGTAATGTATTTTAACTCTTGTTAATTGGACGGAGTGACCTGCTACGAATCAAATTAGAGTACGATAATCCAATTGACAAGAATTAAAGTACATTGACCCAGTTGACAATTGAATCAAAGTATAAAGATCGCAATTGAAATTAACCCTTTACTTTTTATTTACCAAGTTTACTTATTTTGGAAAGTAATTGGTGAAAATTTTAAAACGCAAAGTACCTTTTTAACTATCTCGAGAATAGATAATTGAGGTCGATGAAACATGTCATTAAGTTAATAAGTTAAGTTTAGCCTTGAAATTTTTTGTAAATCAAATAATAAATATTTGATTTTGCTTTATTTTTTCTGACATTTTAATCCTTAACAGTTCTTTTAAACTCACCTTAAGACAAATCTCAGCTTAATGCAGTGCATGAACAGGACTGAATTGCAGATAATTTTTATTTTTCTATTATCTGGGAATTTGCAATTACGGTCCTTCAACTATACCACTTGAAGTACTTGGATCCCTGATCAAACTTTCTTACTATTAGAATAGTCTGAGTTTTGCTTTTTTGGGCTAGTTGGTCCAATTGAATGGAAAATGTCTATTTTTGTGTTAAATTGTTGCCTAACTTGCATGTGACCTTTTTTCTGGAGTGTTACTGTTTTATCTAAATGGATTCCATCAAAACAATGGGAAAATTTTTTTTAATAAAAATAGAAACGTAATGAAAAACAATAAAAAAAATAGAAAAATCGAGCTTGGCGCATCCACACCCTACCCTTTACCATCCTCACTTTTATCCCCTTATTTCCACCCTCGAGCCGCCTTGCAATTCTTTCCCGATTCCTTAACGTAAGTAACTTTTTCTCTAACTATGGTATAGGATTTCAGTGGTGGTGACGGGTGGCGTTAGTTGACATAAGAAAATAATTAAACTTTTTTTTAAGTGTAGCGTAATAATTGACGAAAATAATCTTGTCATAAATAGTTATATGCATGATCACATGACATTTTAATTGAATTTTGACGTTTGAATCTAAATGGACTAACTTGCACAAAAAATAAAAGTTAAAAAAAATCACAATGTCAAAAAATTTTGGATAGCAATCCCAATGCTCAAATGATATTATTTGAAAACCGCATCTTGAAAATCTTTCTATTTATTTATATAATTATGTATACATTTGTTTATTTGAACTTAAGGGTAAATTCATCTTCACATGCTATAATTCAACCATCATCTTCCATGTAATAGTCATTGAAATTCCGATAATAGAAAAAGTCGAAGACTTCGTGTAAAAGTTAAAAAAATGAAGATTCGACAAGAAAAAGTGCCAAATAGTAGAACTCGAGGAGTGCAGCTGCAATTTATCCAAATTTTGTAAAGGTCCCCGTACAAGATCTGACCCGAGTGTCCGATCCATTGCAACGTGCCACTTATGTCAGAATTCAGATCTCTCTCCTCCACTGTTCTTCACGACCTCCGTCGATGAATCCTTGATTTTCAACTGTTAACAGTACATTCAATTCAAACATATGTGCAAGTGTCGATGCAGAGGCCATCCAACGAGCCATTACTGTCCTCCTCAATGTCTTCTTGGGACTGCATGTTGCCGGGTCCTCCTTCCAAGAACAATGGCGGAGCAGCCGACCTCTCCGCTGGCGGCCTCCTCGCTTACGCCGCCGGAAGCTCCTTATGCATAGTGGATATTAATTCTATGCAACTTGTATTTACCTTTCCTCTACCTCCTCACCCTTCCTCCGCTGGCACCAACGCCGCCGCTTCGCTGTCTCCCTTCATCACTGCAGTCCGGTGGTCCCCTCTTCCACTCCCGCATCACCTGTTAGAAAATTCGTCGTCCCATTTACTTCTTTCCGTCGGTGATCGCCATGGCCGCATCTCTCTCATCGACTTTCGCTTGAAATCTACCCTTCTGCACTTTGATACTAGTAATTCAAGTTCCTCCAAATTGGGCATTCAAGATCTTTGCTGGATCCAGGTCCGACCCGACTCCTGGGCTCTCGGTGTTATCTCTGGATCCTCGTTGCTCTCTCTTTACAATACTACCACGGGCCGCTGCTTCTTCAAATACGACGCCTCGCCGGAATATTTTGCATGTCTCCGTCGGGACCCATTTGATGCCCGTCGTTTCTGCGCATTGGGCCTCAAGGGCTTTTTGCTATCGGTGAAATTACTTGGGGACTCCGAGAATGATGTCATTTTGCAGGAGCTTCAAATTCGTGCTGATACATCCGAATTGCAGAGACTGGAGAGGGATTCTAGTGGTAGTAGCACTAATAATGGGGCACCAGCTCTGGCTGTATTCCCAAACTATGTGGTGAAATTCACGTTTTCACCACACTGGAAGCATGTGATATTCGTGGGTTTTCCTAGGGAGCTGGTGGTGTTTGACTTGCAGTATCAATCGGTATTGTCCTCAGCAGGGTTGCCAAGAGGGTGTGGCAAGTTTTTGGAGGTTTTGCCGGATGCAAATACTGAGGTACTATACTGTGCTCATTTGGATGGGAAGCTCAGTACTTGGCGGAGGAAAGAGTAAGTACTTGAATCCAGTGAGCTACATTAATTCGTCATGTTATTTTACACAATTTAATTGATTATGTAATGTTGAAGAATTTTGATTGCTTGTGTTTGAAAAATGCATTATTTTTTAGCCTTTGGTCCTTAGGGAATTTGTAATTTGATGAGTAACTAGTTGAAATTGATGAAAAACATTTTAATCTGATACGAAAATTCTCCAGTAGAATAATTTGATGGTGGACTTTAATGTCAAAGTTCATATTAACGTCTGAACTTAGAAAATAAGAAGATGATTATAATGACATAGACATGTCATTTTATCTATAGACAGAGGAAGTATGATGCCCTTTTTGGAGAACAAGTGGATCGCTGGTTAAGGATCATACCAAGAAAGAAACCTTTCTGGAAGCTTCTAGTTAACTAGAAAGGTTTTCTTTGTGCAAAGGTTAGGCCTTGAATTTATTGAATTGTTCAGTGTTATGTGATACTATTGGAAACATTAGAAGTATATGGCCTTCCACAAATATAGGATTTCTTTTGTGATGGATTAGGAAGCTGCTGTATTTTTAAAAAAAATTTTTATGGGACAATATCTGATACTTCAATCATTTCAGTATACAAGTAAAATAAAAGACTTCTAGCATGTTTGGCTAAGCCTATACTTTTAAAACAATATGCTATAAATAGCAAGATGTAACTTCATAGCTCTATATTGAGTTTTCTTGGCATGATTGTAAAAACCTTTCTGTAGCATTCTCTTTTCTGGGCTTCAAAGATGATACATTGTTTTCATATATCACAGAGGAGAGCAGGTGCACATGATGTGCTTGATGGAAGAATTGATACCCTCTATTGGCACAACTGTACCTTCTCCCTCAGTTCTTGCAGTCGCTATCTCCCAGTCAGATTCCACACTCCAAAGTATTCGCAAGCTTTGTTCTGATGCTTCTTCAATTGATTTGGACTTTGATAACCCTTTTGATTTTCGTGAAGAATCTCGTATCATTTCTAAGACACATTTAATATCCATTTCTGATGATGGAAAAATATGGAAATGGCTCCTGACTGCTGAAGGATCTGGAGATGCTCAGAAGGATATAGCACAAAAAGACAAAGTTACTGAAGTCGGTAAAGTTCCAGTGCCAGAATCTGAATCTTCGACGGAAGTTATGTCTACTAATGATCCTATACTGGATGCTATAACCCAGTCAGATGAGACATATAGCAATTATAATCACCACTCAAGTCCTGCTAGCATCCAGGAAGAAGTATCATTTAAGGTTGGCGTTTTTGGCTATTATTATCTCGCAAGTTTCTTTTTTTTTTTTTTTTACACTTTTTTTTTTTTGCAATTTTTTTTTTTTTTTTTTTTTCGTTTTTAATCTTTATTGCACGGTTGATTTTCCTGCTGCTTCCTGTGACTGGACACCTTAGCACAACATCGGCTCTTCAGAGAGAGATTATATTTTATGTATATTTATACTATGGTAGACCAAATCTGGTAAATCTCACCTTGTCCAAAAAAGTGTGAATATAAATTCTAAGAAGAGAAGCAGGGGAGTTCTCTTCTGTTCTATTTTGCTTGTCTCTTTTCCCTTGGAATCCTGACAATTTCACGAAGGTGAAAATTAGGTGTGGCTAAATTTCACCATTAGTGCAGATCTGTAAGCTTTATAATGCATAATGCTACTTGCATGAATGTGGATATCTGATGTAGGCTAACTTCATAAAGATTTGATTTTGGCCTATTTGCTTGTGGTGCTCGTTGATTTAAATGCTTGATTATGTGCGAAGGGTCCAGAAAAGAACATTGGAAAGTTAGTTATTTGTTCTACATTGTGATCTGGGTGGAATAAAATTTAGTGGGTAGGCAAGGATTTGCTGCATATAAGGCACACTGTGCCTTCTTTCATATTAGACAATTCTCAGCTCTTTATTCTATTACATTGTTTTATGGTGAGATTGTGAAGAGTTATGCTGGGTTTCCTTTATGGCTGTTTTGGTTCTGGATTGAGGGTAAGAGGATGATCTGGTAATATCCAAAAGTTTATCAGTAACAACATGCTAGTTTTCTTTCTACATGTTCATTTTATTTCTTCTTGCACTTCATAATTAAAGCCATCGATGCAGACAAGTCTAGTTGGACAGCTGCATCTTCTCTCATCAACAGTGACCATGCTGGCTGTGCCATCCCCTTCTTTAACTGCTACGTTGGCTCGTGAGTGGTCTTCAAATATTTTCTCTATCCCTTAAATGCTGAAGTTGACAAGCTTTTTCTATAAGCTAGGTTAATGCTTTACGCTAATCTCTAGTTCATTTGATACATGAAGGTGGAGGAAACTCTCCAGCTGTAGCCGTTCCATTAGTTGCTTTGGGAACTCAAAGTGGGATGATTGATGTCATTGACATCTCCGCAAATGCTGTTGCTTCAAGTTTTTCTGTTCATAGCAGTGTGGTACGAGGGTTACGATGGCTAGGAAATTCGAGACTGGTGTCATTTTCTTACACACAGGTCAGAATGTCTGTTTAGAGCTCTATCAACCTTTTGGATGGACGTCACTTCTGAATTCTGTCATCGAGTATTCTTGTAGCCTATTCTTTGATTTGCTTAAAACTTCATTGTTCTTTAGTTAATAAAAAATAATATTTCAGTTTGTTTTTTTACATGCTGATATTCTTGCTATCATCATTTCTGGATTTAGGGGAGTGAGAAAACAGGAGGCTATATCAATAGGCTTGTAGTGACCTGTCTTAGAAGTGGACTTAATCGAACATTTCGAGTTCTACAAAAGCCAGAGCGGGCACCAATAAGAGCCTTGAGAGCTTCATCTTCCGGAAGGTTCATTACATATTTATGTTTATGTACCGTTTGCACCAAATTTTTTAAGTACACTGTGCAAATTGATAAATTAATCTACTAGTTACTGAAAAATTCGCCCAGAATACATTTAATACGACTTAACACGCGAAAGATTCTTTTTTTCTTAACTGTTCTAATCTCTTACACTGTTTAATGTTCAACTTGGTTCTGGAGAAAGTTCATTGAATTGAAATCCGTTATTTGGCTCATTGTTATTGTTGTTGCTCATAATATAAATATTTTTGTTCCTGATCGTCAGTATCTCTGACGATTAGTCAGCTATATATGTGTCCCTTTCTTCAACTGCAAAACTAGGCAGTTCGTTCTTCTGTTGCATGTAAAAATTTATAAAAATGCACTTGAATCAGATATGCAAATCCAGTAATGTGCTTCATAGAAGAATCATCTGAACAAATGAGACTTTCTGCTTAGAACGGAACATTATTGAACTCAACAAACCTCGCCTCTCTCACAAAATCTGGGATTCACATACACCCTCCCAGCGCAAGCGAGTTGGTGTCTGACACACATAGGACACCAGTTCTTCACTGACACGCGTCTGAAATGTCAGGCGGCTCGTTCAAATTATTTTCTGATTTTGTACAATTGGACACATTGACGTCCCTGACCGCGTGGAGATACATTGCCGACACGCCGGGAGATAATTGTAAATACATTATTGACATGCCGGAATTTAAAAAAACAATTTGACTTTACAATGGAAAAAAAATATATATATAGATATTTTTTAAAATTTTATTTAGCATGTCAGAGATGTGTCCCTTAGGTTGTTTTTTGAAAAATTGCGTGTTTGTGAGTCCATGTCATGTCGGATCCCTTTTTCAGTGCTTCCTAGCAATGAAGGCAAAGAAAATGAGAAACCATTCCTTCCACTCCCTCAAACTGGCAAAGTTTGGGCCGTGAATCTGAGTGTTCAAACTAGATCCATTTCGGTGATTTAAATTGATAATATAATAATTCCATTAAACTTGATTAATCTAAATGATTTTGGGATTTTCTAGTATTTGAATGGGTACCTGTTCAACGGCTGGTACTCCGCCGTTTATCAGTCATTATTTTTCGAGCTACTCGTACTGTGATCATTCCTAAATGTATCTACGAATTCTTATAGGTATCTTTTAATTTTATTCCGGGATGCACCTGTTGAGGTTTGGGCAATGACCAAGACTCCAATTATGGTAAATTCGTCAAAGTCCTCTTCTTTCTCCATCATCCCTGTATTTGGATTTGATGTCCAATTCCCATTCTTTTTAAATGATATTCTGTTAGATATTTCACATTGTTTAGAGTGTGCAGCTAGATTTGTTGGAGCTTTGATAATCATATTGTGGATCGTAAAAATATTTCTACATAGATAAGCTTTGTTGGACCTTAATGGTGTAAAACTGAACTAGATGAAATTTCTCCTTTTGTTGCAAACTAAAACAGACAGTCAATGATTTTTTCTCCTTACTGTTTTCCTCTCAAGGAAGCTTATGTGGAAATGTTTCTTTGAGCTAGTTTTAAAAAGATCTGAGTGGTATATGTCAATGCTGTTAGAAAATATGAATTATGAAATTGCTTTGCTGTTGAATTCTTCTTATTTTCCTACCTTTCAATTAACAACCTTTGCATAATACGAGTCTAGATAGGGATTATGTTATTTTGTCTTCAATCTTGGTTTTCATGCATGTTCATCCTACTTCACTTTATCATGCAGCTAAGATCATTAGCTCTTCCTTTCACTGTTCTTGAATGGACACTACCAACAGTTCCCCGTCCAGCACAAAATAAAGTTTCTAAGAGCTCATCATTTTTATCCAGAGATCATGCACCGACCAGGACCTCTTCCCCAACAAAGGCATCTTCAACAGATTCCAGTCAGTGTTTCTTGCTTAGTTTTTGGAGAAGTCCTTTGATGTATATCTTGCATTCAGTCTGCTGGCACCTGTGTATTGTTAATTATTTACATGCAGTGATGTAATAATTGCAGAGGAAGCAGGAGGTGATGGATCTCAAGAAGAATTTTCAGAAAGTTTTGCATTTGCATTAGTAAATGGTGCACTTGGAGTTTTTGAGGTTCATGGACGAAGGATTCGAGACTTCAAGTATGTTTTTCTCTGATTTAGGTTTTCGTGAATCTAAAGAGAATAAGAAACCTCTATTATAATATTCACATTTTTTTCAATGTTTTGTTTTGTTCTGTATTATGTCGATCTCTTAATGCTCATTCTAAAAAGGTCTACTTGATATTTATCGGAGTTTGCCCTCATTATATTTTTGCTCTGCTCTATATCTCTGTGTGCATACAAGCTTGTGCTATATATCATGCTCAAATACAGTCACATTGTATTTTGTATCATGGATGTGATTTGTAAGAAAATTGATGCTATATGCTACTTCATTTTCATCATTCACAACTTGATAGCTGATTCTAATTATGATCAAGTTGGATTCAAATACTGTGCAAGCTCAAATTCTATTTATGGGTTACTGTAACATATTAATTTGGCATTCTGATTCGATCTCGAGTAATTATATGCACTAACTGGTTTTCCTACCAATTTGTTGTTTCACTTAAAGGAACATAGGACAAAATGGTTTCTGCCATTACAGACCTGAGAATGAGCAAATCTATTTCATTGCAACATTTTTGTTAGTTATGTTCTTGTTACTTTGGTGTGCTGTCTGTCAGACGTATTTCATGTTAGCACAGTTTCCTTGTGTCCAGAAAGATTACACGGGCATTCTTATCTCTCTTCCCATCCTATTGATACATTACCTGCACCGAAGTTTTTGTTAAAATTTAAGTTTTTGTTCACTTGTATTAGAAACTGTGGTCCTATATTTCCTTAGACACGGATGACTACTGATGTAAGTGCACTAGTCAATGACAAGGTCCTGTTGGGTTGGATGACTTTTAGGTTTATGCCCAGTGGACAGAGATTTGAGGCACTGATTGATCAGATTTTTGTATATTATGTTTGATTGATTAGTTATGAATAGTTTTATTCGTTCTTTATTTAGAAGATTACATTCCTTTTCTTTGATCCCTCTTGTTTTATAAATTGAGCATATGAGGCATTCTAATAATCATCGAGAAATATAGAATTCATAATTTCTCATTCTCTCTCTATATGCTATCAGAGCTGGTACTAGTCTAAACACGGCAAGTCAATTGTAGAAAACACGGCCAATAGCCAAAAGTCAGCGACCTCCTAGCCTGCTACAAATGAGACAGAACTCGCCCCTACCATGAGTTCGATTGGCATGGATAATTCTTCCTTCACGGTGGAAAAACTTAATGGAAGAAACTACAGGGAGTAGGCACAATCGATTAAATTGGTTGTCAATGGAAAAGGCAAAATCGGATACCTTACCGGAGATGCGAAGCAGTCCACAGATGTGAATTTTCTAAAGAGGTGGAAATCTGAAAACTCCATAACCTATAGGGTAAGGAGCAATAGACGGAATTCGCCCTAGAATCGTTAGGCAAGGCTCATTACGCTGAAGAGTCTTGACAAATGATGATTCAGACGGTTATGACATGGCTTGTGAACTCAAATGAAGCACTCAATTGGAGAAAGAGATGTGACATATTACTACATGGAGATGACAACCTGTGGTAAGAATTGGATTTGTGTGTCGAAGAAGAGTGGGACTGCCCTAAAGACAGTACCCGGTACAAGAAACGCCTGGAGAACGAATGAGTTTATGAATTTTTGGTAGGACTAAATAGAGAGTTGGACGACGTGTAAAGTAGAATACTTGGCTGTCAACGGCAGCCATCGCCTCGTGAATTCAAACAGGAAGAGAGCCGGCGACTGATAATGTTGCAAAAAGAGTTTGGGCCGACGAGAAATGATGTATCGGCCCTTGCTACTAAATTAAATGGGCCGACAAGTTTAACTGAAGTTGGGCCAATAGATGGTTCAAATAGAGTTAGGCCGGATGGGGTTGCAACTAATGTTAAGAAAACATATGTTAATAGGCCTAAAGCAGTTGGGCCTAACGGGTCAGCCCAAAATTTTAAAGGAGGGAGAAAAATTGGACCGGGTCCAAAACAAAAGGGCCGCCTATGGTGTGATCCTTGTCGGAAGCCTGGACATGACGAAAATATGTATTAGGATATACATAGAAAACCAACTGACTCATAACCAAGATAGAACACCAAAAATCACGCCTAGCAATCTACAGTTGATTCCACTTAAATAAAAACTTCAACTTCGAATGGCGCATTCAATCCCGAACAACCATAACAATTCTACAAAATATTTTCTAATTTCAAAACATCTGGCCCATTAAGTTCATTAGCCCACAGAGGTAATTTCTAGAGAGCCCTTAATACTACCACATTCTTTTCCCAAGTACCATAGATTGTAGACTCTGGTGTGTCCGATCATACGACAGACTCCCACAATCTATTTTTTACATATTCACCCTGTGCATGCAATCTTAAAGTCAAAATTGCAAATTGCTCACTCTCTCCCGTAACTGGAAAAGAGAGTATTCGCATCTCTAATTCAATTACTCTCGAACATGTTCTGCATGTCCCAAAACTGTCATGCAATCTATTATCCATTAGTCAATTGACAAAAGGCTCAAATTGTTCCGCTAATTTTCTTCTTCTCAACGTGTCTATTAGGACCTATTATCGGGAAAGACGATTGACAATGCTAAAGAATATGAGGGACTCTACTACTTTGACGAGACTGATTTGAGTAAACAACGTCAATTTGCTAGTTGTGATTTTGCATTTGTCTCTATGACTAGTGAGATTCTTTTATAGCATTATAGAATTGGTCATCCCAACTTTCAATACTTAAGACATGTATTTCCTTCTATATTTTCGAATAAAAATTCTTTTGAGCTACAATGTGAAATTTGTGAACTCGCAAAACATCATTTCTAATCATTCTCAAAATGCACATCCAAACCATTTACCATGATTCACAATGATTTATGGGGATCTTTACGATCTCCAAATTGCACCCACACAAAATGGTTTGTCACGTTTATCGATGATCATACCCGAAAATGTTGGGTCCATATGTTAAAATAGAAAACTGAAGTCCAATGAGTGTTTATAAATTCCGCTCAATGGTCAAAATCAAATTCCAAACCAAAATTCAAATTATGAGCACTAATAACGGCACAGAATATTTCAACAATACCCTGAAAAACTATCTCCAAGAAAATGGGATAATCCACCAAAGTTTGTGTCGATACCCCAGACAAAATGGGATTGCTAAATGGAAAAATAGACACCTACTTGAGATTGCCAGTTCCCCGATGTTCACAACAAACATGCCTACAACATTTTGTAGGCCTTTTGTGAATACATCTGCAGTCTGTATTCTAGTAGGAACGTAGATCATACAGATAGTTCCACCTTCAATTTTTTCTTTGATGAAGTGTATGTAGGCCTTTTGTGAATACATCTGCAGTCTGTTTTCTAGTAGGGACGTAGATCATACAAATAGTTCCACCTTCAATTTTTTCTTTGATGAAGTGTCTGTCCATCTCTACATGTTTGGTTCTATCATGCTGCACTGGGTTGAGTGATATGCTGATAGCCGCTTTGTTGTCACAATAGAGTTTGATTGGAAATTTTGTTGGAATTTGTAGCTCAGTCAACAGTTTCTTTAGCCATAAACCTTCACATATTCCTTGAGCATCTGCTCTAAACTCTGCTTCTGCACTACTCCTGGCTACGACATTTTGTTTTTTGCTTCTCCAGGTGACTAAGTTTCACCATATAAAAGTACAGTAGCCAGTGGTTGATCTCCTATCTTCTGTTGCCCCTGCCCAGTCATCATCAGTGAATACATGTATCTCTCTTTTCTCATCCTTTTTGAACAGCGGTCCTTTTTCAGGGGAACCTTTGAGATATCTTAGAATTCTGTATACTACTTCTAGATGGGTTTCTCTTGGAGCATGCATGTGTTGTCTTACCATATTTACTGCAAATGCAATGTCAAGTCAAGTATGAGATAGGTAGATTAGTTTTCCGACCAGTTTTTGATCTCTCTCTTTTTCAACAAATTCTCTAGTATTCTTTGTTTTCTCCCAGTGTCCATAGGAGTATCACATGGTTTACACCCAAGCATACCGGTTTCAGTAAGGAGGTCTAGGACATATTTCTGTTGTGACACACTGATTTCCTTCTTCGATCTAGCTACTTCCATTCCTAGGAAGTATCGCATTTGCGGGTCTTTCACTTCAAACTCTGCAGCTAACCCTCTTTTTAGCCTCTCCATCTCAACTGTATTATCTTCGGTGAGAATTATGTCGTCAACATAGACAATCAGAATAGTCTTTGTCCCACCTTCAAATAATCTGAAATACATAGTATGATCTGATTGCCCTTGTTGGTATCCTTGCCTCTTCAACACGTTTGCAAATCTGTCAAACCATGCCCTAGGTGACTGTTTGAGACCATATATGAATTTTTTCAGTTTGCATACTTTATTTCCTTAATTCCTCTTAGAAAATCCAGGTGGTAGCATCATATAGACCTTTTCTTCCAACTTCCCATTTAGGAATGCATTTTTAATATCAAGTTATTGGAGTGGTCAGTCCATATTTGCTTCTAGTGATAGGAGAACCCGAACTGTATTCAATTTTGCAACTGGTCGAATGTTTCTGTGTAATCTATGCCATAGGTTTGAGTGTATCCATTTGCAACCAGACGAGCCTTTCCCCGTTCTATTGTTCCATCTGCTTTGTATTTTACATTAAACACCCATTTACACCCAACAGGTCTCTTTCCTCTCTGTAGTTCCATCACATCCCAGGTTTTATTTGCTTCTAGTGCTTTTATTTCCTCCATTACTGCTTTTCTCCACTTGGGAATTTCCAAGGCTTCTTGAATGTTTCTTGGAATTTCTGTGCTATCAAGGTTAGACACAAATGTTCGAAATCGTGAAGACAGAGTATTATAAGCAACAAATTTTGAGATAGGGTGAAGAGTGCATGACCGAGTTTGTTTCCTGAGGGAAATAGGTAGATCATTAGTATCAAGTGATTTTTGAGGAAGCTCATGAGGATTTGGAGCTATCACCGGTTCCGACTCTCTTGGTGCTTCGAGTGTGAGTTTCCCCTTATCCTTGGATTTTGGCTTCCTTGAGTAAACAATTATCTCTTTGTCATGTTGTTCTTTTTGTTCTCTCCCTGAGTTTAAATCGTCTTCTGTAAATGGCATGTTAGATTCTGTGTTTGGGTTAGAGTTGGAGGGACCAAGATTAAGATGTATTTGCATTTGCAAGAACTGATCTTCATGGTCACATAGGATCTCCCCTTGAAGAGAGGTTTTTTTAAAGTAGGGTTCGTTTTCGAAGAAAGTGATATCGAAGCTGATAAACATTTTCTTTGTGATCGGGTTATAGCATTTATACCCTTTTTGTGTAGGTGAGTAACCGATGAAAACACACCTAATTGCTCGGGGTTCGAGCTTGGTACGAAGATGAGAATTTATGTGGACAAAGGTCGTACACCCAAACAATTTTAGTGGTAGGTCGGAGGTGAGGTGAGGTGAGTGTTAGGAAAGAACATCTTGAATTTTTGGAGAGGAGTTTCGAAATTGAGAGTGCGACTGGGCATTCTGTTTATGAGGTAGGCAGAGGTTAGAATAGCATATCCCCAAAAGGTGTTGGGCATATTTGTAGTGAATAATAGGGCCCGAGCTACCTCAAGTAAGTGTCTGTTTTTCCGTTCTACAACCCCATTTTGTTGGGGAGTATCAACACAAGAACTTTGGTGAATTATTCCATTATCTTGGAGATAGGTTCTTAGGGTGCTATTGAAATATTCGGTGCCATTGTCTGTCCGTAGAATTTGAATTTTAGTGTGAAATTGAGTTTGGACCATTGAGTGGAAATTCGTGAACACAGAACGAACATCAGTTTTTTCTTTTAGCATATAGATCCAACAGATTCGAGTATGGTCGTCGATAAATGTGATAAACCATTTTGTGTGGATACGATTAGGGATTCGAGAAGGTCCTCATAGATCACTATGTATTAAGGTAAATGGCCTAGATGGTTTGTATACGGATTTTTTTGAAAGACGAACGGTGATGTTTTGCAAGTTCACAAATGTCACACTTCATGTCAAAAAACGTTTTATTCAAAAATAGTGAAGGAAATACATGTCTTAGATATTGAAAATTGGGATGATCCATTCTATAATGTCATAAAAGAATTTCATTATTCTTAGGAACAGAAACAGAATCACAACTAGCAAATCGACGTTGTGGACTCACATTAGCCTCGTCAAAGTAGTAGAATCCCTCACTCTCTTTAGCATTGTCAATCGTCTTCCCCGATGATAGGTCCTGAAAGACACAGTAAGATGGAAAAAAATAAGTGGAGCAATTTGAACTCTTTGTTAATTGTTGACAGATGGACAATAAGTTACACGATAGATTTGGGACATGTAGAACATTTTCGAGTGTAATTAGATTAGAGATTCGAATACTCCCATTTCCAGCCACTGGGAGAGAGAACCATCTGCAATTTTAACTTTAAGGTTGCCAGCACAAGGTGAGTATGACACAAATAGATGATGTGAATCCGTCATATGATCGGACGCACTAGAATCGATAATCCATGATATTTTTGAAAGTAACGTGGTATTGAGATCTGTTAGGGTATTACCTCTGTGAGCCAAAGAACTCGAAGAGCTTGGTGATTGAAAATTCTAGAACAATTGTTGAAGCTGTTTGAGTTGTGCAGGACTGAATGCACCGAGTTGTGGAATTTTGTGTCTTAATAGAGTGGACTGCAGCTTGGTAGATGGAATTTATGGTGTTTTGCCGTGGCTTCCAATCAGCTCGTTTTCCATGCAAATCTCAGCACGTGTCCTCTTTGTAGCCAGGTTTCCGACAGTGGTCGCACCATGGACAACCCGTTTGTTGTCTTGGGCTGGGTCCAAATTTTTTTTTTGTACCTCTCGGCATCTGGGCTGCCAAATCAGGCCCATTTGACTTTGGCCCATTAATGGGTTTCCTTTAAATTTTGGAACTGACCCATTCAGCCCATACTCGTCTGATCCGTTCGGCCCAAAGGAATTAGATAAAGGGTCCGAACTCTCCAAAGGCATAGCAGGCCCAATTTCATTCTTCAGCATAATCTACCTGCGACTTTCCTCGCGTCTGACCTCAGTGAAGACTTCACGGGGTGATGGCAGTAGTCAATGTCCAAGGATCCGTCCCCTCACGTCGTCAAGTTCTCTGTTCAATCCGGTAAGGAATTCGTACACTCTCTCGTTGTCCAGCCGCTTCCTATACCGCGCGTTGTCGCCGGCACAGTCCCACTCCTTGTCGATGCTCTGGTCCAATTCTTGCCAAAGAAATGTCATCTCCAGGTATTATTTGGTGACCGACCGTTCTCCTTGCTTCATCTGCCACAACTTTGTTTTAATTTCAAAAATTTGGGATGAATCTTCGGCATCGGAGTACATCTCTTGAACCGCCTCCCAGATGTCTTTCGTTGTGGCCATGAAAAGGTAGGTTTTACTAATTTGGGGCTTCATCGAGTTCACAAGCCACACCATCACCATGGAATTTTCTGATTTCCATTTTTTTAGATGTGTTGCGTCTTTGGGCTGCTTTGCTTCACCGGTAAGATAGCCAATTTTCCCTTTTCCGTCACAGACGAGTTTAATTGATTGTGCCTACTCTCTGTAATTGTTGCCTAAGTTTTTCCACCGTAAGTTGGAAGGCCATGTTGTCCATTCCAATCAAACTCATGGTTGGGATAGCCTTTGTCTCGCTGTTAGAGGACTCGGAGGTAGACGACTCTTTTCCGACTGTTTCGGTTTCTGCCATCGATAGCCGAGTTTAGGTTTACTCCAGCTCTGATACCATATAGAAAGTAGCAAGAGAATTCTGTATATTCAGAATCATACTTCAAGTGTTACAATGCCTTCAATCTACAGTATTGAGATTTCAACTGTGCAGGCCTTTTCTTTTGTCTATTTTATTTACCAGTTTTTTAAGATTAATTCTTCTGTTATCTATATGAATCAAAATGACTATTGGCAGTTTTTCTACTCTACTATATGTTCTTAAACTCGTGACCAAGTTTGACGTTGTCCTCATTGCAGACCAAAGTGGCCATCATCTTCATTTGTTTCCTCTGATGGATTAATTACGGCCATGGCTTATCGTCTGCCTCATGTTGTACGTATCATATGTTATATTCAATTTTTTCCACTCTTGATAGGCTCCTTGTGTTTAACATAGTAGGAAAGTTTCATATTGGAGGTGGTAGTAATTCATTGACATTTCAGGTTATGGGAGACAGATCAGGGAACATACGCTGGTGGGATGTTACTACTGGGCAATCATCCTCATTTAACACTCACAGGGAAGGTGTTAGGAGAATCAAGTTCTCACCAGTTGTTCCAGGAGATCGTAGCCGTGGACGTATTGCTGTTTTATTTTATGACAACACATTCTCTGTTTTTGATCTTGTAAGCAGAACGATGGACTAGTTGATTTCCTTGAGTACTCGTGATTTATGTGTGTAGTGCTCACAATGTTCATTTCCATGTTATAGAAATTATATAAATAAAAATGGATGAAACATTATTCTTGTAAGTTTGTTAATGTTATAGCTAATATAGGGGAAATTGTACTAACACGAAGTTAGTGCATATTGCTTCTTTGATCAATTCTGACTCTGGTCGAATAAACCTTTCCTCCTCTTGTGTTGAAGCTGTGTTATGCACATGATCTTTTTCTTCATCAAAAATAATAGAAGTGAAGAATCTAGAAAGATTGATTCACTAAATTTGGTCTTGTAAAAAGCTGGGATAATTTTCCATTCAGTTTCAATTATAAAGAAGTGCTTCTGATTTGCAGGATTCATCAGATCCATTGGTCAATGCCCTCTTACAACCGCAATTTCCTGGAACGCTTGTTCTTGAGCTTGACTGGTTGCCTTTGCGAACAGAGAAGAATGATCCACTGGTGTTGTGCATTGCTGGAGCTGATAGTAGCTTTCGTCTCATTGAAGTGAATGTGTATGTCCCATAAATCCTTCAGGCTTGCTGTCAGCCATCAATAATTTTTAGCGAATAAGAGGATTATAGGAGCTTTTGTCATCTTTTAATTGGCTTCTTTGATTTTTCTAGAAAAAACAAAGAACTTGTCCAAAACTTTCGATGATTGATCTAGCAATCTGCTATGATATGATACTTCTCATTAATGTTTGAGCAATAAATAATTTTAACTGGATTCTTGTAGTTCATGGTACTAAGTGTGTCGGTTGTATGTTATTACATGCAGAAGTGACCAGAAAATGGGCTTCATTCCTCAAGCTCGATCGGTTAAGGAAAGGTTCCGACCGCTGCCTTTGTCCTCCCCAATATTGCTGCCTACACCACATGCACTGGTAACTTCTAATCTATACCTTATAGCATATTAGATGCATACAGATAGACATATTATGTTAAACAAATTACATGCCTGGTAACTAGACCATTATTTAATGTATTGTAAAAGTTCGATAAAGTGGGAAATATCTTATAGATGTGTGTGCTTTCATGCTCCCTCAGAACTAATAAATGAAGTATGACCATGCCAATGCTGCAAATATGAACGACCTAGAAGTTATGATTGAGCAAAAATACTAGTCCTCCATCTAGTCACTTTAGATGTTCCTTTGCTACAGGCATTGCGGATGATTTTACAGATAGGTGTGAAGCCCATGTGGTTTAATACATTCAGTACAACCATGAACAAGACACATTCACATATTCCTGGAACTCCATCATCTGGAGATCTTCGCAGTTATATGCTTGATTCACCACGTGTTGGTGACTCTGCAGTTCTGGAGATGCTTCTTAAAGTATTAGAGCCTTACCGTGAAGAAGGTTTGCATCCTTTGTATACCTAAATTATAAAACGATTTGATTATTTGATGAATTTTGTTTTCCTTCACATGTTTTGAAGGCTGCCTTCTTGATGACCAGAGAGTGAGACTCTATGCTAGTCTTGTCAACAAAGGTTTTGCAGCAAGGTTAGCATTTTCAGCTGCAGTTTTTGGTGAATCCATGGAAGCACTTTTCTGGCTTCAATTACCTCAGGCTCTTAAGCACATGATACATAAATTGGTTAACAAGTCACAGAAAGGCCCGCAGCCAGCTGTAACTCCAGAGATTGATGAGGCATCCATGTTGAGTAGAATCTCTTCAAAAGGAAAATCAATGCCTGGAGGAGGGAAAAAGAATCCATTGGTTAGTCAAATTATTGAAAATTGTATAGCGATATTTTTCATATAGCAATTTACGTTAACTTAGCAAATGCTCGAATTTTTTGTTTGTAACCAGACATGTCATGAGATGAGATTTCTGTATTTAAGCCTTTTTTGCATGACGGCTTTTTTTTTTTTCCATTGAAGGGTAATGGCCAACTTAGGTTTCTGTATTTAAGCTTTTTTTGCATGATGGCTTTTTTTTCCGTTGAAGGGTAACGGCCAACTTAGGTTAATGGCTTTTGAACAAGCGGAATTATGGGAGTGTGCTAGTGAACGCATTCCTTGGCATGAAAAATTGGAGAGTGAAGAGGCAATTCAGAACCATATACATGAGTAAGTCTTTAAATTCCTTCAAGTTTGTTTATTCCCTATCGTTTCCCCTGGATAATTCTGGGGCCAGTTCTAAGTAAAACTCAGTCATGGTATATTTGTCCCTGGGTTTTTGACTGTACTCTGATTATGGATATATGTAATTTCGAGGCGTTACCTCTGTGGACCAAATTGAATTGTTTCAATATCAACATTGGAGGTTGCTGATTCGCACTTATGTCATGATCTAAAAAATAAGATGTTAACATGGTAGGAAGAAAGCTGTATTTTCATATACCATAGATATACAAATACATTGTGTGTACACTGGACTATTTATAAACTTAAAAGAATAACAGAAAAGTTGTTACAATCTACCTAAGAATTTGGTAACAAATACAGGATTTATTGTATCTGTGTTGGGACAAATGTCATGCAGATCATTCACTTTCTAATTTTTCTTTAATGAAGTATCTGTCAATCTCCACGTAGTTTGTTATATCATGTTGAACCGGGTTGTATGTTATGCTTATAGCTGCCTTATTATTGCTGTATAATCTCATTTGCCCTTTTATTTCAAATCTTAAATTCTTCAAGAATCGTTTTAGCTAGAGTAGTTGACACATGCCTTGAGCAATTGCTCTAAATTCAGCTTCAGCACTACTTCTAGCTACCACAGCCTGTTTCTTACTCCATGTTTCAAGGTTACCTCCAACAAAGGTGCAATATCCTAATGTTGTCACTAACAACCTGCCCAATCAGCATCTGTGAAGATTCAACCTTCATGTTCCATTTTTTTTTTTTTTGAACAATAACTGCTTTTCTTGATTTTTCTTAAGATATCTCGAAATGTGGTACACGGCCTCCATGTGTTTTTTACTTGGTGAATGCATATGCTGGCTAACAATACTAATGAAGAGGAAATGTCAGGTCTCGTATGAGACAAGTATGTTAGCATACCAACGATTTTCTGATAACACTCGTCAACGTTTTTCCCTTCTTCATCAACAGCAAGCCTGTGATTAACTTTAATTGAAATATCGCATGGTTTACATCCAAGCATGCCAATCTCTTCCAATAAATCAAGAGTATATTCTCTCTATAAAATAACAGTACCTTTGGGCTTTGGCTGATCTTTCCACTTCCATACCAAGAAAATACTTCAAAAGTCCAAGGTCTTTAATTTCAAACTCCTTGGCAAGCACACGTTTGAGATCTTTAATCTCACTTTCGTCACTTCTTGTCAAAATTATATAATCAACATAAACAATGAGGATTCTCAACTTACCATCAGCAGTATGTTTAATAAATATTGTATGATCATCTTGGCTTTGATTATAATTGTTAAAGGGTATTTAAGTCTTTTATGTAATACCTAGAGATTCCTAAGTTTTTATTATAAATAGTGTGAGAGACTAACACAATAGTTAAGCCTTCTTATTCTTTATGGAATTGTTTTTGTTCAAAATTTTGTATTCAGGACTCACAGAATTTTTAGACTTCTCATCCTATGATGGAAACAACCTCTGACATTAAAATTCCTTAATTAAGATGAATGTCAATGTAAAAGGGTATTTAAGTCTTTTATGTAATACATAGAGTTTCCTAAGTTTTTATTATAAATAGTGTGAGAGACTAACACAATAGTTAAGCCTTCTTATTCTTTTACTCCAACAATAATTAAAACATTGAATAGCCCTAGAGAACCTAGGTGATTGTTTAAGACCATATAAGGATTTCTGAAGTTTGCTAACCTTCTCTTCCATAAGAATCTGCAGAACCTGGAGGTAATTGCATATAAACCTTTTCATCTAATTGACGATTGAGGAATGCATTTTTTATGTCAAGTTGACAAAGTACCCACCATAATTTGCTTCCAGTGGACCTGAACTGAATTTAACTTTGTCATTGGTGCAAAGGTTTTCTGATAGTCTACCCCATATGTTTGAATTTAAACCTTGGCCATAAGCCTGGCTTATTGAACCATCAACTTTGTACTTTAATGTCAAACCCATTTACACCCAACTGGAGTTTTTTCTTCAGGTAAATACACTGAACGGTATGTTCAGTTTTTTTCTAGTGCCCTCATTTCTTTTAAAACTGCAGCCTTCCACTCTGGAATCCTTAGAGTCTGTGCACTGTTCTAGGAATTTCTACACTAGAGAGTTTAGAGACAACGGCTTTATGGGATAGAAGCGGGTCTGCCACTTTTTATTGATTGTTCCGCTTGGAATAAGTAAGAAATTCTAGTTGTAACAACCAGTTCTGCTCAATCGCGCTATTAAAATTATTTTTTGGAACCAAGGTCACGGTTCGATCAATAAAATTGGGTAAAACTGATGGACTAATAGAAGAGGCTGTTGGACTAGAAAATTCAGGTTGTGGTTCTGGAGAAATTTTCTATGGCTGATTTCATAAAAGGTGACATCAAAAGAAATGAACATTTGTTTGGGTAGTAGCATATATAGCCTTATGGGTTTAGAGAATATCCCCAAATAAATTGTACGAATAGCTTTAATGTGCAGTTTCCCTTGAGAAGGAGAACGATCATTAACAAATGCTAGGTACCCTAAACCCGAAAATTAAGAGAGGTAAACAATTTTTATTTTTTTTTGTAGGAAACAGCTCTTGAAATCACCTAATGGGGTTTTATATTTAAGAATGTGGGTTGGCTTTTCTATTGATAAGATAACAAGCTATAAGAATTGCTTCTCCCCAAATATATTTAGGCACCCCACTTGTGAACATCATTGAACTAGCAACTTCCAGAAGGTGCTGATTTTTTCTTTCGGCTAAGCCATTTGTTGCGGAGTGTCAACACATGATGATTGATGAACAATGCCATTTTCTGTCAAATAATTCCCTAGAGCATTAGAAAAATATTCTCTCCCATTATGTGTTCTTGAGACCTTAATGTTTCTCCCAAATTTAGTTTTAGTTTTATGTAAGCGTGAAAATTACAAAAGATTCTGGTTGTTTCAGATTTTTCCGCATGTAGGTACACCCAACAAAGTCTTGTGTGATCTTCTATAAAAGTAATAAAGCATTGAGTACCAAAAACATTTGTCATGTGGGAAGGACCCCAAATGTAACTATGGACAAGGGTAAAAGTGGCCTACTCTTCGTAGGAATGTAGTGGAAAATGAGCTCTATGATGCTCTGTTAATTCACAAAATTCACATTGCAAAGCAGGAAGGTTTTTGTTATGAAATAACAAAGGAAATAACTGTATTAGAGAGGAAAAACTCAGTTGTCCTAATCTAAAATGCCACAAAAGACAAATTTAGTAGATTGAGTATTACTATTCATCACAACTTGAGCTTTTTCATCCAACACAAACTCATCTTGAAAGTAATAGAGTACATTTTCTTCTCTAGCATTGCCAATCATCTTTCCCGAATTCAAGTCCTTAAATTCGCAATGGGAAAAAATTTAGCTTTACGTTATTCTATTTGGTAAATTGATTCACTGAAAAATGATTACAAGGTAACCTTGGAACATGGAGGAAAGAATCTAAGCACAGATTTTTTGAAATAAAAACTGGACCTTTACCAACAATTGAAGACAACGAACCATCTGATATCTTAATTTTTTGCTTACCAGTGCATGGGGTATAAGTGGAAAAGACATTTGACGAGCTTGTCATGTGATCGGTTGCTCCATAATCAATAATCCATGGAGTTCGAGAATGTGTTTGAGATTTTAAAGCTATGGAAAAATTATCTTGTTGGGCAACATAACAAGGGGAACTAGGAATTGACTTATCCTTTAGATGATCAAGAAAATCACGCAGAAGCTCTATTTGTTCTGTAGTGAACGGCCTGCTGATTTTGAACATGCTGAGTGTACTCTTTCACTTGAAATGTGATTTCCTCCTTTTCAGGCCTCTTTGCAGTACTAGAGAGAGATCCAATTTTTTCCTTGCCATGCACGAACAATTTCACTAATTAGGACTAATGAAGAAAAAAATTTACCATTTAGTTTATGAACCGTGATTTGTAAAGGAGGGTTCTCTTGGTTGATACTGCATAGCCTTAGGATTATGTTTTGTACTGAATTAATTTTTTTTTGTTTTGCCACCCAGGAAAAATTAATTTCATGATGCATATCCCTGATTATAGTTTGGTATAAGAAACACTATCCTTACCATTATGCTGTAAGCATTAGAAAATGGAAGCCTACTGAATACTTGTTGACATAAAGGGATTGTCAATGTGGAGAATTTAGAACAATTATGATTTCACATAACACTAACAGTTCATACGGGAGGTGGACGATCAACAAATCTTTGCCTGCTCTAATTAAATGTCGAACCACTTGGGCTAAAAGCATAAGTTGTTAAACATGTTCACGTGTATATCATTTAAGTATTATCTTCAACGAATTTTTTCTTTGGACACAATTTAGATAGCAATTAACAATTAAGATAAAGGATTTGATGTAAATCATTTACCTATTTATATTACATTTTCTTTGAGTATCAGACTTGTGTCAGTTGGGAACTTGGAGGGTGCTATTAGTTTACTGCTCTCTACTCCTCCAGAGAGCTCTTACTTCTATGCCAATGCTCTGCAAGCTGTGGCTCTATCATCTGCAGTGTCAAAATCTCTACTTGAACTTTCTGTCAAGGTGATTCTTTCTTCTAACTGTTACTGTTCCCACTTAACCTAAGATCTCTCTTCCTTTGTCACTTAGCTCCCATTATTGTTGTATAGGTGGTTGCAGCAAATATGGTTAGAACTGACCGGTCATTGTCTGGCACGCACCTGCTTTGTGCTGTTGGGAGGTATCAAGAAGCTTGTTCTCAGGTAGAGTTCTCTTTTTGCATATCTCTATTAGAAATGATATGAGTGTTGCAGAGTTTTAATAAAATGGGTTATTGATATTTGTGTTGGAAGAAATTGAAAATTGGGTCATTCTGTTTCTGGCTTGTCAGGCTTGTATTTTATATATTAATTTTTCCTTCTGTAGTCCAGATGTATGGGCATTTCACTCCATCACACATCTTAGCATATTAAATAGTTTCCTTACATTTCTTTATTAAATGGAACAAATGCGTAGCTTGTACTTTTCATAATGCATATGCTAGATCCAGAAGACGTAATGTGGCAGTTTTGATGAGATTCATTGGATAGTTACATTGTTCACCGTGGTGCCTCCACCCCAGTGCATGTGAATGGAAGTCTAGGTCTAGATGGAGGAGGACCTGGACTATGTTTTGGAGTCACCTTAACCTTGAGATTGTGCATTGCGTCTTTTACGTTCCAACCTCGTGTATGGCATAGTGAATGGTGGTCCTGAATGAAGGCTAGCAATTTACTAGAATCGGACTTCATTGTTCTGTTTTGGAGCAAGTTGTAGTGCCTATTTGACCACACCAAAATGTGTAAACTCTGAATTCAAAAAATGGGTTGCGATAGAAATTTACTTGAATGAAAATGGTTCCAAAATATCTTTACAAGTGTTTGGGAGCAAGTGCAGGAGTGGAAACTAAGCAGGTCAGTCCAGGAGAAGAGCTGCTGTACACATGGTTTCCAGCTGCTGAACTGTTGCTTTAGGGCTGTGAAAGGGAGGACGCTGTCGTTGTCCAATATAATGATTATATATTTTTAGCTAATACGTTGCCCCTCTTGAATATCTTAACTCTGTCTTTTTGGGTCGAATTCCTCTCCTTCTGTTTACTCATTTGGTTCACGTTTGTTTTTTTCCAAGAAACGACTTCGGTTTTAGGTTAATCACTTTTTGGCTACAAAATCTCTTGAAAAGGAGTCTTTTTTCTCAAACAGAAATACAAAATTTTAGTCTCTGAGCCTTTTATCAGTTGCACCACATTTTACTTTCATAAAAAGAGATGAGGAAAATATTCAATTGTAGTAGTATTAATCAACAAAGAGAGGGAAATTGAGTGGATATTTCTAAGTAGAAAAAGTTGAGGGTGCACATTGTCTTTGCCAGGGGACAGCTGACTGAAGCGTCTGTTTGAGAATTTAGTTATCCCTCCCTTGCATTAGCTAATTTACATAATTTTCATCTGTGATGACAAGCCATCCAAAAATATGATAGTGTATCTTGAGTTTTTTTTTTTCCTTTTTCTTTTGTCAAATTACTAAGCCTCCGTTTGTGAAAAATTTATAAGCGGTCTAATATGTAAATAGATAGAAATGAGTGGTGAACAAGTGGATAATACTTGTGGGTCTATTGAAATGTGTGGTTGAAAATGAAGTTTGACCATTTATAAATTATTTATATATTTGGCTGAATATCTGCAGCTTTAAGCCAAAATATTAAGCCCCTGTTTGAGCCCTATTCTTTAAACTCATTTTTCCCCGAACTCGTTCTCAACCGCAAATCTCCAAAAGAATCGCTTTTTACAAAATCTATTCTCAAATGGGCCTCAAACAGGGGTAGCATTCTGTAATCAAATACCTCTGTTTTTGTTCAATAATTCCAATGTGGTGAGACAAAATAATTATGAATAACTTCTTGCTTTCAATCATTTGTGATTTATTTCCTGAGTTGTTAATTGCCCTTGAAGAATGGAAGGGGGAGGAACAAGTAAAAACTAAGCCTCCATTTGGACAACAATTTATATATTGGTTTGTAAACTCGGTCAAAGTCGAAGATTAATTTCCACCACATTCATAACTACCACTCATTATTATCCACGCATTTCATGGGACCCACTACTATACCTCTTTATAAACCACTTGTGAAATTGTGAAATGGAGGCTGAAATGTATTTTGATCAGTATTGAGTTTTTTGAATTTTAAAAACATATTGGAGCCATCATCTTCGTTTCGGACTTGTCTAAGAAAATATCTGCTTGGGGGAGGAAGAGTCATTCTAAAGGTCTCATGTCTTGCTAAATGTAATCAGACATGAAAATGTTGTCACGACTCTTTCTCCAAGCGTATAGACATGTATTAAGAAACTAATTAAAGAAGGGATTGTCTATACAATTTGTCAGCATCTTAGATGAATAATTTGTAGCTGCTGACTTTGAAACTGTTTATTTACCTAGGTTTCAGGCTTTGATATGATATACTGGTTTCGCATTGTTCTTTTTGTACGACTCTTGTGCAAGATGGAAAACAATTTATCTCTTGCTTATGCTATGCAAATTTGGTTCCTGTAAATGTTCCACATGCAACTGAACATATATTTTGGTTACTTTATGAGCACTTAAATTTGTTAAAACTTGGGAATCTTATCTGTTGGAATACTCAGCGAGCATGGACCTTAATTATGTCAGTCTGTTTTCAAGTCATATTTGGAAAATTATTTACTTTCTTCTGTTATCATAGGCTATATTGGTAGCCGTGAGTGCTGCAAGAATACTGGAAAGTCAAAAATAATATTCAAGGGGTCATGTAATATGATTCAAGGGTGATAAGTGATAACTTTAGTAATATTTTCTTGCTTATATGTTGTTCCATCTCTTTACAGCTGCAAGATGCTGGCTGTTGGACCGATGCTGCAACTCTAGCTGCAACACATTTGAAAGGGTCTGATTATGCAAGGTGATTTCACATATTGAATTTAAGATATAGTAGTGTTTGAGTTTGCATCTTTTAAATATATAAGACATTTTTTCAAAATTTCGTTCAAGATCTTATATGCAATGTTTGCCAATCAATTCTTTCAATACACTGCACGAGCTATACTAGGTGTCTTGCTACTGAATTATTTTTTGCCTGGGCAATGCCCTCCGTTCCTCCTAGCCTAAAACCTTCATTTCTCCATCTAGTCTTAACTTTGATCAGTTACACATTTACTTCATAATATGGTAATACTTCAAAATAATTTACTTCTTTTTGAGTCTCCACCAAATGCTAAGGAGCTAAATTTGGCATATGGTTGAAAGTGTGTGTGCATATGTGGCACCCCTTCTTCACTCTTCCTCATTATTTGTCCACCACATTCCCTATGTATACAACCATACTGATTGGTCTATACTCTCTCTCTAATCTATTCGGTCCACTCTTTTTCATGCACAAACACAACTGTAAATATGGATTTTGAAGATACAAATTCATTCACTTACAGCAGAGGTCTCTGTCGCCATCCCGGTCTTGAATTTAAGACAAGAAAAGCGAGCATTGTTAACACTTTTATGGCCACTGAAATGATGAAAAAAATATATCCCTTTCCCTGATTACACCTTCTTGCAGCGGTGGCAACAACCGTTCCATTTTCTTCTATTCCACTACGGCACTACATTCCTACTACTTCTAAAATAGAAGAAACCAAGAACCCAACAATCACAATTTCTGTCGCTGCCAGAATAGAAGAAACCATGATGCCCACCGCCATCCCCACAAGCCCTAAGGCAGCTGAACCCACAAGTGATACAACTCATGCTCCGGTGGCTCAAGTGTAGCATGTGCAATGATGTTGTCATTGTACTAAGCACTCAACGGTCAAAAAACCCTCAACTGCAACACTTCTTCTTTGCTATTATCGCCCTACGATCATCCCCAGCACCATCGCCACTACTACAAATGATGCCAAGAAGATAAAACTTCTTCTCTTGTTATTACTGCTGCTGCTGCACTTGTCCAGTATCTTCCTTGCATATTTAGCGAGTGTAACTAGGTTTTTTCATCATCCCAAGCATTTGATGGCCATAGAACAAGGCACTTGGATAACCCTACCCCTGTCACCCCTACCACTATGATCATCCTTAGCATGGCGACTTTTGCCGTCAATAATGAAAAGAATATGGAGCCTTCTCCTCTTTCTGTGCAGCTTTGCTTGGTATGATGAAAAAACCTTATCATAAGTGACGTGCTTGTAAGACTAATTTTAGACCACTGAAGCAAAAGTTATATCCCTTGTTGTTCAGCGGCTATAGGGCTTGTGGGGGCAGTAGTGACAGGAATTGTTGCTTTGGTGGGGGGGTTCTCAGTGTTTTCTGATTTGGTGAAAGTAGTAATGGCGGTGGGAGCGGAGGTGGAACAGTTGTTGCCATAGCTACGAGAGAGCGTCATCTTGGAAATGTCTATGTTTTCTTCATCAGTTTGTTGGCAAATAAGTGGAAACGCCCTCTTTCCTTTTATCTTAAATTAAAAGGTTGCAGCGGCAGAGATCTTTGTCGTGTTTGGTGAATTTGGATCTTCAAAAAAATTATATTTGCAGTTGTGTTTGTGCGTACAATTTGATGCATGAAAGAGTGGACCGAATATAATATAGAGATGTCAATAGTGTTGTCTATATAGGGGTTTGGGTGGGGAAATAATTAGCAACTGAGGAACTAGTGGTGTTCTATTGGACCCATTTAACATTCTAAAAAAGAAATAAATTAATTTTATAAAGTTAAACGACAAAAAATATTTAAAAAAATTAAAATTTTAAAATTAGAGCTGATGGACATGGTCTCGTCCATCAACTCGAAAGGATGTCAATCAAGCAGCCTTTCATATAAAAGGCAACTTATAAAAGGCTTTTGCCATGTTGTATAAAAGGGCTACAGCCTTTTAAAAGGCTGTTTTTAAGGTTGATGGACGTCCATCAGCCTTAGGCCCGGTCCTTGGGTTCCATAAAATTTTTAGAAGCCGATCTTTGACCGGCACAGGAACCGTTGCAGGCCGATCCAAATAAAGATGGGAAAATTACATGAGGCAGGTATTTAAAAATTGCTTTTTAAAAATCAGGTCCAAATGTTATTTATTCAAAAATCGGGTAACCCTAATTTTTCACTCCCAACCCCTCACTTCTCTGCGCCTCCTCTTCCCCTCCCCTTCCCCCTCTCTGTAAATGGATCTCTACTCCCTCCCCTCTCCGTCGCCGGTCCGACAACGTAGCTCCGGCGTCGCTCTCTGCCTTTCTCCTCCCCTCCCTCCCCCCTCAACAGTAGCGTCGACACTGCTGCCGACGTTGCAACAGCGTCAGTAGGAGTGACGCGGACGAGATGTTGCTGGTGGAGGTGGCAACCGCCAGTTTTCTGGGACATTTTCTCGCGGTGGTGGGAGTCGCTGCAGCGTCGTGGTCGAGATGTTGCTGGTGGAGGACGATCGCCAGTTTTCTGAGACATTTTCTCGCGGTGGTGGATCTGACGGCGGCGGCGGCGGCGGCGGTGACAATGGTTTTTGTTTGTAGAGGTGGTGATGGATCTTGCTGTGGCGATGGTTTAAGAGTATGTAACTAATGATTTTTTTTTTTTAAAGTAGTGATGAGGTGGCGATGGTTGTGGCGATGGCGACGCGGTGTGTTTCTGTGACTTATAAAATAGGTAATATGTGATTGGTGGTGGAGGTGGAGGTGGAGGTGGTTGTCAGTAACTTTGTTGGTGCTGTTGTGGCGATGGCGGCGTGGTGAGGGTGGTCAAAAGTGGCCATAGTGGTAGTGACAGTAGTTTGTGACCAAATGTTTGGTAATCTGTAACCAAATTATTCAACTGTGACCTAAAAATTTAATAATCTGTGACTCAAAAATAATCTGTAACCAACTCATTTAAAAATCTGTGACCTCGAAATAATTAGTAACGTACAATTTTTTTGATTTGTGACCTTGAAATAATCTGTGATCAATTAATTTTAAAATATGTGACCTGTGACCTATAATTATGTATTTGTGATCATTAATTGTATAATTGTGACCTAATTAATAAATATTTTTAATTAGTTATCTAATACCTGATTTTTGAATTTTCAAACTATAAACCTGATTTTTGAATTGGTGTAAATTATACACCTGATTTATGATTTTTTCCCAATAAAAAACTTATTTTCAATTTTTATCAATTAAAGAAGTCCATTTTTTTAAAAGCGTGAAAGTGCTGTCCGTGTAGCCCTCCAGTGTCTTATTACTAGTCCCATTTTCCTATGGTCAGAGATGTTGACGCCAAGCCAGGGGGGACAAAAAATTTATACTAGATTGATACATAGAAGAAAAAATCCATAAAATTTTATTTTAACTGAAAATCAAAGAGCTTTGGGCAGGCTTCCAAGCCAACATGCATTCCATGAGATGCTGCAGTTTTATCTTATTTTACAAATACGTGCAGCGAAACATTTCTGATCTGTCAATAGGCATTGATGATCTCATTATTTTATCCATATTATTGTATATAAGATGCTTTTACTCGCCTAATAAAATCTTGTGCAGCAAGACTTTAAATACAAGGCCAGTGCACTCCCGCCGAACATATTATTATTTAACATAAGCATTGAACACTAGTTTTCAAATGATCCATCCGACACTGAGATTTTCAACAATGCTATATAAAGCAGAATTTGCTATTAAGTATTAATGAATCGAAAGCATAGATTGGAAGGGCTGAAGTAGCTAAAAAGTATTTCTTGGTTTTAGTAAAATATCTTTCTGAGCATCATGTCGAAAAACAGCATTTATATATCTAAGCAATCCAAATCTGTATGTATGTTGGGCAACCTCACATTGATCATTTTTGAATGAATTATCTGCAGGGTTTTGCAGAGGTGGGCTGAACACGTCCATCACGCTGAACATAACATTTGGAGGTACAGCTCTTTCATTTCTTATTTTGTGCACAGACATTTCTCCATTTTATTGTATCCTTAACTTTGATTCAATGCAGGGCTCTGATCTTGTACGTTGCTGCTGGTGCACTGCAGGAGGCACTGGCAGCCCTTCGTGAGGCACAGCTACCAGACACGGCAGCCATGTTCATATTTGCTTGCCATGAAATCCTTGATGAATTTCTATCCATCCCGGATTTTGATGAATCTGATTCTTCAACAAAGAGTAATAAGCTCGACTTACCTGGGCTGAACCCGGAGAATGAAGATGTTATTGCAGTTGGTGAATATTATGGACAGTATCAAAGGAAATTAGTACATCTGTGCATGGACTCTCAGCCGTACTCCGACTGAGCAGCCCTGGCTGGTATTATTGGCTCGTGATTTCTTGGTTGTCACCAGCCGTCAAAGCTTGTTCGAAGAACAGCAATACAGTCCCAACTTTAGTGAGCTCTTTTTGGTTAACCTAGATGGTAGAACAACTTTCGACTTTATATGTCAAAACCGCTTGCATAGCCAGATAACCAATCTGAACGAAAGGTTTTTGGAAGAGTTGCTGGTTTTTAGAACCTTAGTTTGATGATATTTTTGCAATGCTTTTCATACCAAATACAGAGGGAATACAGTGAAATTATGTGTTGTATATTAGAAAGTTTATAGATGACTGTTAATACTTTTAATTTCTTTCTTGTTTCACATTGGCTCTTATAATATCTGCTTTGTTGAGTGTACATTAAGAGAATTATTATTGATTATTTTTCTCATGTTTTTGGTTTTCTGATGAAAAAGTGAATACGAGTCATTTTTTTTTTCTTTTTTGTGCTAAAACGAGTCTTGTGAATTGATTAATATTGCTAAAAATAAATAATGGCATAACTACAAATATTATGTGGTCAGAAGAAAATACACTAACGTTTTAATTTATTCATTTGTAACCCGACCAATCAGTAAAATCCCGACAGCCACGCAAGATTTCAAAGAGGAAAATACATTCATTTACATAATGGATCAACCAAATTCATGTTACAAGATAACAGATTTAATTTTCATACACACACCGGAATTACACAAAAATTCTGTAGAGGCTTGCACTGATCATAAATCTGATTGCATGAAAAAATCAGGCCGTTCAATTCACTTTCTTTGAAGATGAGTATGAATTTCGCCCCAGAAAAGACAGTTTCAAAGTCAGTTTACAAAACCACAATAAATCAATTGCAACTTGTTACTTCTTCAACCTCATCTTCCTGATATCAAGTTATAGCAGATACTGTAAGACAATCCAAACTTTTTTCCAGAACCAAGGATTAAAATGTATTTGAAAAGAGATGGAACCTTGCAATTTCGAGGCCTGAATGCAAACTTTACGGATTTGTAATGCAATAGTGGCACATTTGGTATGTTGTTCTGGACACTACGACATAGGATCGAGGGAAAATAGTTAAAATCTTGTTAGTTGTTGTGTACACAGTACTGTATACCAAACTTATCCTGGAACTCTGATGCCATTACCTTGATGATCTATTTGCTAGTGGAAGAACCTTGAACGACACCTAGCGGACCCTAGCTCCTCGTACTCCGCCTTGGTGACACACATTGTTTCAAAATCGGGACTAGATGCCAAAAGTGAACCCCCACGCCAAACACCTAATATTGGACTGCAGAAGAAACTTAATTGACTAGCAGTCGGAAGGAAGAGAAAAATCATTTGATGAGAGCTCAGAAAAGAGTTTACTCTTCTTGAGTTGTTATCTTCACTTGGTACTCATCAGGAACAAGAGGTCGAAGCTCCCTCTCTCTGGTCACAAGAAGTATTGTAAAGCATTTTAAGCAATGCATGAAAAGGAGATTTCAAGCAAAAAGATAGAGTAAGAAGCTTACAGTCTTTCAGCAAATCGAGGAAATAATATGCTCCCACCAGTCAAAATAATACTGCCAAGTATAAATACATGTGAATGCAAATTCTAAATGAAATTTAGGTCCAACCACAACAAAACTAGAATATCTCGGGTTGACATTCCAATATTTCCAGTCACTACCTCTCATACAGCACAGGGTGAAGATGAGGATGACAGGAATTGACAGATCGTACAATACACTCTGCAAGTCCTGCTTGGTTCATTCCTATAGAACAGAAATAAATGCACATAATCACAAACCAATGCATTAGAGGTATCAATAACGTTCAACTTCTTCAGTGCAACTCCACTACATATAGGAATATAGAGATTACAAACTCTAAGGGTGTAACACTGTGTGATCAGAATACTTAAATCAAAAACTAATCAACTGCCAACATAATCGTAATTTAGACACTTTTAGGATAGAATGATAAATTGAAACTCCACTTCGAAATATAAAACTTCTGTACAGACCCAAATCAGCTGGTCGAAATATCATCTCCGGAACAAGGAACCGCTCATTTGTCAAATTAAATTCCTGTTCAAAAGGTAAACTATTTAAATAGTGGAAAAATATAATAAGCTAGAGACTTGAAAATAGGGAAGAGATTACATTTTTTGTTAGGTCGACTGTTCTTCTGTCTTGATTTTTATCCGTACGATCCTGTTGTTCTATGTAATCATTTTCTCCTCTCTGGGAAGAAGGGACCTCATCATCTAAGGTGAGGTGTCTCTTTGATTCATCTGGGTCTTTTACATAACCCTTCGTATAGGTGACACCGTCAGGAAGCACGTAAGTACACCTAAATACATTATCCTTTCCATGTTTCCTGCAAGTTCATTTTATGAACGACAGTATGTGAAACAACAGAAACTCTCACGAGAAAGAAATAGCAGCTCCTATAACATAAAGAAAATAGGATTCACTTAATGCATCAGGATCAAATAGGGACAATTGTGATATATCCTTCATCAGCCTAAGCATGAAATAATAAGATTTGTAATCCAAGACATCAAAGTGAAACTACAAGGCTCAAAGTTCAGTATTTTCTTCACAATTCATGAATGGTAAATATTGTTTCCACAATTGCCCATATGGTGATATTAGTCAGCAGCGGCTTATCACCATGCGTTGCCAATTTTTTTCCCCTGGCCTATTTACAAAAGGGATGTTTACGTCTGCAATGTAAATAATTTTTAAACTACTATATGGTTTAAAACACAAACAATTGTTACTGTGTGTGTTTGTCATTCTACAACTATTTCTTTGATCATTTTTATGTGCAACAAGTCATTCTAAAATAGCAGATTAACAATATGCAATTGTATGATGCACGATTTCAAATGAAGTCAACAATATATACCAGCACTAATTACTTCTTCCAACCAGGTTCTCCACTTCTGACTCTTGGAAAAACTCATTTTGATCAGAGAAGATCACAAAGGAAAGTACAATACAAATGCACAAGTAACCAAACACGTTAGGTCTAAAAATTTAACGAAGTCTAGAAGAACTAAATGTTGTAGAAAGATGTTTCCACACAAAGGGGATGAAGATGAAACAAAGAACAAAATATAAGAACACCGGAATAAAGATGAAGGCTCAAACACGAATATCGTTGTCCTCAAACAATATTTGCCACCTCTCGAATAGAATTTGATGCTTGAAGAGATATTGGCTAATGGTTTGAAGGATTAATGAAGCCTTGTAATAGAAAAACACCTAAGCACTTAGTATTTTCTACCCAAACTTCAAGAACACAAAACAAAATTTGAATATGAAGGGAAAGAGGTTTTGATCCTTTTGTGGAATGGAATTTAATCTCAAGTAGTTTGTATATATTTGTATTGATCATTAATCACCTATTCATAGACCTCAATCAATCAATACTACATGAAATGGTGCCAAAACATGATGAAGAGTGGCAATTTTCCATCCAAAAAGACACCGATTTCAGTTTTAAAAACCAGCCTATGCAGCCACATAGGTCGTTCAATGGCAGGGCGTACAAACTCTGCAAGCCAACATGTGACCACATGCATCCATACCGCATAGGCCAAAGTTTTGGCCCTCAATTCCACACACATTTTTTTTATTGATTTTTGAACAGCAATTTCAACACTAAATATCAAATAGACACAGTCGAACAGACTATAAAAGACCAAGATATAACATCCAACTATCTATATTTATCACTGGTATTCAGAAATAACTGTACCATGTTCATTACAAAGACAATCATCAAACGCAAAATTCACATTCACATTTTGGTAAGAGATTAATCTTGGGAAAGAAAAAACTACAACATTGGCATAATTGTTCTTGAAAACATACAAACTGATCACACTGAAAACACAAGCAATGCATCAGACAAATTCAATTAACCAACACAATCAAACCTCACAAAAATGCCAAAACGTTAATGATAAAGAACTGTAAAGAAACAGGAATTCAATTACACTAAGTACACACCTAGCAATCTGGAGGTCTCTGGGGACATCAAGAGAAACAAAGCAAAGCTTCTCTTTAACATCATCCATAATGAAGCTCTCATCCATCACATTCACACTCCTATAACTCACCAATTCCTTCAAATAATTTGTGAGTGCCTTCCCCCCAAGATCTAGTCTTTTCACCCCATAATTTAGGGTAAAATTCTGAAAAACCGGAGCAGTGTGAGTGAAACTGAAACCGCAGTCCACCACCAAGCTACATTGTGCCTTCGAGACCAACCCATATGGCCTTCTCGAAGCTTCGTACAAATGAACCAATGACGGGGAATCGGCCACGAAAAGGGCCTTGAAATTGAACTCCTCGAAGATGATTTCATCGACTGAGCGTTGGATGGAGGGGAGATTGAAGAGGGGTTCAGTCAATAGAAGGGAGGTACTGGAGGGGGTTATTTTAAGGAGGTTAGTGAAGACGTGGGCCCACAAGGTTGACTGGAGATCAGGGTTGATGAGGTAGCCGCGGTCAAATGGGCGTCGGAGGGTGGCGGAGGTGAGATCCTCCGCCGGGGAGAGGAGTTGGTCAGCCAGTAGCCATTTCTTGGAGGACGGCGGTCGGGCCGTGCAGTTGGGGACTACGCACGACGGGTCGCGCTCTCCGCCCATTCCAGCTTTCATCAGGCCGCCGCCGTTGTCTAACACCACCACGTTCGACATGCTTACTTTACAGAAGCGGCGGCGGACCGGTTTCATCTAATATGGATTATTTCACATTTAAATTTCATCTGTAGTCTTTGAACTTTCAGCAGAATCTCAATTGGGTCGCTAACATTTAATTTGTTACAATTAAGTTATTAAACTTCAATCTAATTTAAATTTCACAACTCATCGTTGTATCTAATGCCAAACAGGGGCTGTGTATCTTCTTTTCTTTTCCAATTTGACTTGTGTATGTGAAGAATTAATTCTGTCTTTTTTTATTATTATTATTGTCATGTAAAATTTCAGGTATAAGATGTAAATGACCTTGAGTTTGTGAGTGATCGTGTAAGTAAACTTTAATGATTATTCAATAAATACCTAACCTCTTCTAAAAACCTGAATTTTTAAATGTTCTACTCGTTCTCTTTCTTGTTTGTAATAATCGTTTCTTGCTCTGATAGGAGAAGTTTATATGGTCAAAGGTACTTCAAGAAGACTCTTTATTTTGTGTTACTACAAAAAGATCAACAATCGACAACTGCAATCTAGCTGTAAGAATCAAATAGTTCGCTTTTGTTATTCATACACAATCCGATTTGGTGAAAGCATATGAATCATTTAAGAGAATTACTCCATTAATGCTAGAAGGTCAATAGTTATATATTCTGCAATTATAGCCCTTTAGAATAACTAGATACTTGCAACGTGTTGTTTTCTGTAGAGATTTTTGGTTAGATGATATTATTTTTCACGTCACAAAAAAAAATGGTTCTTTAAAGTTTTGAATGTTGGTGTTGATTCATCACTAATTTAGCTACTTTAGCCGCTAAACTAGTTACTCAAGTTTCTCAACTATTTCATTTTTTTGATGTTAGCAATGTATAGTGGTCAAATAAGAATATTTTCTATGACGCACTAGAATGTCCTTGTTGACGATTCTTTACTTTTATAGCATCTAGGGTTCTCGAACAACTGTATTTATATCTAGCTTACCACATATGTACAATTTCTGGATTTTTTATGTTTCTTTTTCATGGGATGATTGAACCAGTATTCGCCACTTTGTAAAGAAACTTAATAGTTCCTCCTCTCTATCCAAAACCAACTTTTATTCCTCGGTCATCACTTCAAAATTGAAAATGAAATTCCTCAAAGTTTTTCAAAATGTTTCTAGTCTTTTGTATGCCTGATCGACGGGTGGAACAAGTCATGTGACTACAGAAACAAACATTTAAATCACAATAGTTTATCTAGGACACTCATTTGATCAGTCAAGATAGACTCCCTCGTTTGATTGATGAATAAAACTTACAAGAGATTTTGGAATTGTTTATAATCGGTTTAATCATAAGAAATGGAAATGAGTGGTAGATGAGTGCTAAGTACTTATAAATTTAAAAAAGTGTGAATAAAAAAGATTATAAACAGTTTATAATCATTAGCCAAACATGGGCTAAACTTGAGCTCTCATTGTTACCCACAAAGATTTAAAGGTCGTAACTATTACAATCAATCACTATATCATATGATTAAATAACACATTCAATCTCACATGAACAATCGCTATACCATGATCAAATAACACGTGCAACCTCACATGGGTATCGGCATACAATATCCATGTATATACTCAATCAAACTGTTTTAACTTATTTTACATTAAATTTAGCTAATAATCTAATTGACTTGATGGTATCACAAGTTAGCTACCATACTCGTATTATGTTCATTTGAGCGAAGTGTCTACATAGATTCAGGTTTCTGTAGCATGACATCCCCTACAAAGAACAACAACTTAATCTACTTTTATATCTATACTAGAGTTCAAGACGATCAAATTACTCAACCTCACATAGTTATCTCTTGAACTTTATGGCCAACCATTTACTAAACTAAAGGATATGTCATGTCCTGTCCTGTGCCTGTCAAATCACGACACTGCACAGGGCAATAGGATTAACATACAATTTAAGTGCATCTCAGTCATGGTATATTGCAAGGCTCTAGACACAGTAGGCTTCCAAAGTCCTGCAAGAGCAGTCTTGGACATAGAAATTACGCGTGTACATATTCTTTTGCATATATTGTGACCAAAGCACATAGGAACAAATCACAAAGGCCAATTAGAATCTGCAGTAAAAAGACTCGGTCTAAATCAGGTATGTAAAAATACAACTTGAATGATTAAAACATATTCTTTTCGATCTTTTAAATACCCAATAAGGGACAAAGCATTCAAAAACGATATTTACGTATAGCATGATTATCTCTTTATCCTGATTTCATTCTTATTTTGCAAAATTGTCAAGGAAAAAGCAAAAGTAGCACAGTAGATAATGGCCATAAGAAATACGAAGGGCAGGGGCTTGGATATGAACATTATTGAGAGTAGACTTAGAATGGTGTGTGGTAATAACCCCCAGGTTGACCCAAGCCCGTCACTTGTGGCATTCCAAAAGACATCATGGATTGCATTCCGGCACCATAATAACCAGCAGAGCCAGCAACCTTGGCCAAGCCCAATTGGCCTTGCATCCCATTACTGGCGTATTGCTGCCAAATCTGCTGCTCCTGTGTGAGCAGTTGCTGTTTCCTCTCTATATCTGCAATTTGAACATAGGATGGTGGTGGCACAGATAGAGACGCTGCAAACGGATCTTGTTGCCCAACTGGTTGGACTGTTCCGTCAGGAGCAGGCAACGCCAAAATGGGTGTCACTCTTTTGCCTGTCGCAGGCAATGAAACACTACTTGCACTCCCACCACTCAGTTGAGAAATATTTACATGCTGCGTCACTGCCCCCTGATCATACATACCAGTCAACAAGAGTGAATCAAAACCTCCTGCTAAATCAGCCTTCTGTTTTGTTAAATTGCTAGCTGACTCGACTAAGGTTGATTCCCAGTTGGCCATACCACTCTCAGCAGCTGGATTCTGCCATGCTGAAGTCACTTCGTTCTTTCCATCTGTTAGGAATGTTTCCCATGCACCATTTGGATTTTTAGCAGCAGGTCCAGAAAATAAAGCCAATGCCAATTTGTTGCCTTGTTCATCAGCCGATACCCCGTCATCCTTCAAATTCACCAATTCCTCAGTCACTTGATGAGTCTGTTGTACAGGTTGGGGCTCTGGTGCAAGGGGAGGACTGCAAACCTCTGGTGGGGGAAGAGCTTTTATTTCATTCATGTTTGGTGCATCGTCCTCTTTAATTTGAGAAGAAGTAGGTTTCCCGCTTTTCTCAGGGCTCTTTGGCCTATTTGCCTTTTCCCTCAAAAACCCTTCAAGGGTCCCCAAAAGCTTGTCAGTAATTTTCTGCACTTCCGGGAATTCTGATGACCTCACAACTCCTGTATCCTTGCACCAATTATAGAAGCTGGCAAGTTCATCAATCATCTTTGCTGCATTTACATAACCATCAAAGGCCTTAACACAAACAACATATTCCATTTCCAAAAACCGATCTAACAAAATGCCCAACACCTCACATATATCAGGGTAATGTTTAAAACTCTCCTTCACAAGCAGGTATAGTGCTATGATTACCATCCTACTGTTCTTTGCAGAGCCCGTTGGTCTACAAGCTAATAAACGATCAAGAAGACTAAGCAATTGATTGAGCCTCTCCAAAATCCTCTCAGGCTTCATTTCCTTAACAGGTGTCACTTCCTTTCGTGGGCCGTTCAGATCACCATAAGACCATGACCTATACATCCCATAATTGGGATCATCCTTAAACTCTCCATACTCATCCTGATAACTCTTTTTAACGCCATCACCACCATTCAATTTCCTCTCATACACCATAAACTCAAGCTTTTGATCCAAATACCGCGCATAGGCCCTCACGAACCCTGAGTGGTCCCACGAATTCGAGTGAGCCTCATCCCGAAAATCTGACATGTTTAGAACTCACCCACGAATTCGAGTGAGCCTCATCTCGAAAACCTGACATGTTTAGAACTCTTGTCCCCTTCCGACTGGCGTACATTATCTCCTGTCCAAAAATTGGGTCCCCATCACTCAGCAGCCTATGGACCAACATTAAGGCCTTCAATGCCACAATCCAATCGCAGGTTTTGTTCAATCTCTTTGAAATTGCAATAACACAGGCATTCACATACCCTCTTGAATAGGATGTCAAATTCAATATCTCCCTTAAATATTTCTCATCCGCAGGCTCGTTATCATGGGTTGTGGCTTTTACAATCAAGACCTCGAGGTCAGGTGCAACATTGCCGGCCACCTTGGCTATGCTTATGCTTGTTTGGTCCTTCACTGCCCCAATCGCCTTTCTAATCGTACTTGATGCCATTGTGTGAACTACTTACCCAACCATTGATAGCACTCGAATCTTGATATATACCACAAAACCCCAATCCGCTTTCTAAATTGTGTGGGTAGACCCTGTAATCCAAATACAGTTGAAACACAGTGAATATCAATTACTAAAAAATATCTTGATATACATTAAAACATAAAATCAATTCTACATCTATATCAATGTATAATTGATTCTTGACTTCTTGTTGTTGGTGTATTGATGGGCGTATTATAAAATTGAGATCTTTTCCGATATAGACACTATCACTTATAAAATCCACTACATCACTTGAATCAAAACTGAATTTCGCTTGGAATTAGAGTCAGTTCTCGATCATCCTGGACACGAGATATTATCTATATATTCATTTCAGACCTAAACACAAAACCTAAATAAAAAGAGAAGACTTACGAAGATTGGGCCCTTTTTCAGTGATCGGAGCTGCAAACACTGCTATCTACACAGGAACCGACTGATCTGCCGACACAGCCACTAATGGCGGTGTTCTATGAATACCTGTATACGCACGCAACTATATACATATACATGAAAAATTATACATATACATGGTCGTATATATATGTTGTATATACGTATATATAGAGTGAGAAAGAGTCCAAGACGTGTAGCGTGGTGAAACTGGACTAATTTAGAGAGAGAAACTAAAGGAGAAACGCGTGAAGACTGATATAAATAGCGATCACCTTTTGGAGGGTTTTTGACTTTTTTCATTGTTTATAGAATAATATTTCAAAAATATTATATTTTCGGACCGGACCGGTTATTGGCCTTTTCGGCTTTTCTTAATTTTTTTTTTCCTTTTTTTGAATATAACCTTTTCTTAATTGTTGAGGCAGGCTTTCTTTTCACCCTTTGAAGTAATTGGATTATAATTTATAAATAAAGTTTGAATATAAATCATTAACGAGATATACTATTTGATAGGAAATCGATGAAAATAATTAAAGAAACAAAAAAAGTAGGACGTAATTATTACAATAAGCAAAGATCGAATGCCTTTAGTGTAAATGCATCGTATTTAAATTTAATGAAAATTCTTAACTTTTATTCATTTTGACACTAATGACCCAAACATTTATCCTTTATTAATATTAACATCTTATCCTTGATAATGATCAAAACAATCGTTACGAGAGAGAGAGAGAGAGAGAGAGAGAGAGAGAGAGAGAAATTTTGCCCATCGAATTTTTAGATAAGAGAGAAATAATAAATACAAAAGTTCAACAAAATGTTTTCTTCACGCTAGCAAAATATTTGGATAAATACTGTTCTTAGAGATAAATATTTTAATTAAAAAGAGCAAAATTGAAGATCTTCATTGAAAGTAAAATGTGATACAATTGATAAAAATTATAGTGATATAATTACCATTAACATAAATGTGTAGTTTTTCTTTCTATTCTCTATTAAGCTCTAATCGAGCATCATTCTTTAGGGTGATAAGTGTAATTTTTACACTTATTCAAGATTCTAAATCATGATATTTTATCGTCTTTTAAATTAAATTTTATCTAATTTATGTTAAATTGTATTTTGTATGTAAAACTTTATATTTAATGAAGAATCGAAAAAAAGAATGCAAAATAGTGGGAAAATGACAAAAATTCGAAGTATGGGGACTAAATTATTGGAGGCAAAGTTTGGAGATTAAAGTTCGTACTTTGAAAAGTGAAGGACTTGCTTTGAAGAAAGTAATATATTAAATGGGTCTCAATTGGACTTTTACGGGATGAATTAAAAGAGAGGAAATTGGGGTTGATTAGGATCCTACAAAAATAGAAGAAGAAAAGAGCAGCCGCAGCCAATTGAAGAATCGGCAGAAAGTGGAGAAAACAGGGGCCGAATTGAGAGATTGTACACGCACACAGTGGCCGGCACTTTTGGAGGAAACAGAAAGCAAAGTGGATAAAGTTTGGGGTATATATATATTGGATAATGCTACGAGTACAGAACTTTTTTCACAGAAGACGTACCGATTTTTAAAAAATTTGACGTGGCAGTGCAAGATTGCAATATTTCCTGACACCACCTGACCACCAACAGCCCTCTTTTAGACTTTTACCCACGTACGTAACACCCTTCCCCTCTTGGCTTTTTTCTTTAAGATTGTTTCAAATTTCGAAATTATTATGTGAACGTTAAATGAAATCGAAATATTACATCCTTAACACCATTTCGAAGTACTCACGATCTAGTTTATCGCATTCTTAACCGCGTGCGAAACGGCCAAACGTAGCAAAAGTTACCACGAGTCGAAATAGGTCGTTCCAAAATATATAAATGTTCTTTCCCTTTTTTATCTCAATGTTCTTATTTTATCTCAATTTTCGGGGTTATCACGGGATGTCAAACAAAATCGAAATCTCGTATAGCAAAAGTTACCACTCGTCGAAATAAGCCGTTCCAAAATATATAAATATTTTTTTCTTATTTTATCTCAATTTTCGGGGTTATCACGGGAT